GCTTTGTATAAAACAGGATTAGACATTGCTTCTTGGCCTTTTGGCTAAAATCAAGTTTAGAAATAGGATTAGACTATGTATTATTTTGAAACTTGCTTTTTTCAGTTTTAGGTCTAATTATAGAGGAAAAAAACTATTTTTTCAACCTTCCCTCTAAATGGCTTCTTAGGTTAAATTTACTTATAATTATGTCACCACTGGTTAGCCAAACTTCTGTTGGTTTCTCCTAGTAAACTTTGTGGTAATTCATGTACAAAGTGCCTTATAATATTAAAAGTGGTTATATTCATTACATAGGACACAAAACTTTTAGTTGAAAATTTTAACATACATCTGAATAGTAAACAAGTTGGCTTATTTCAGCATACATGGTATATTTCCAGGTATAAAAGGAATGCAAAAGAATGAGAAAAAAGTTCTTGCCTTGGTATTTTGTAAGTTGACTACATGTGAATGCACACTCTCACACAAGCACCGTAAGCCAGCACGTGCCTCATAAACACACATCCTCACACAAACACATGCAGAATCATCCAGGCCATTAATTCATATAATTAAAGTGGCATATTGATTTTTGGCTTTTCAAATGTCTTTCCCCTGTGTTTCTGTTGCAGTTTGCTATTAAAATTGATCAAGCTGAAGAGTTCCTTCAGAACACCCAGGAGTTCGAGACTGCCGAGTCCTTAAGGTCACTTCTTCAGCTTCATGAACATCACACCAAAGGCAAGATTTAAGTTTGTTCCTCACCTGAGCTTTTAAAATAGAGATGTTAATGTGAGCGTGCTCATGTCAGACATATTTTTATTGATTTCAGAAAGGAAAGGAGAGGGAGAGAGAGATAGAAACATCAATGATAAAAGAGGCTCATTGATTGGCTGCCTCATGCACCTCCCCGCATAGGGGATCGAGCCTGCAACCCAGGCATGTGCCCTGACTGGGAATGGAATCATGACTTCCTGGTTCGTAGGTCGATGCTCAATCACTGAGCCACACTGGCTGGACAGGATAATATATTGTTAATTTATCTGTTTATGTATACTTCAGCTCATTCTAAGAAAGGTAAATGAAAGCTCTTTTCTTAGCCATCTTCTGCAAGAAAGAAGTAGTTGTAAATGGTTCTAAGGAGATGGGAGAGGGCCAGCCTCTGAAGGATCCTGCTAACTCTGGGAGTTCTCAGTCTTCTGGATGTGGTTCCTGAGGACAGGGGCCATTTTTACTGGGTTCATCTGTGTATCCTCAGCTTCTGGCAAGATGATGGTACCTGGTGAATCCTCAAGAAATATTTCTTGGTCAAATAAATGGTTGAATTCAGTGCATGTTTCTTCTCAGGGACAGTAAATTGAGGTCAACTTTAAATAACAGCTCTGAATAAGGAAAATCCATCTTTCACTGTTGCAATAAAAACAGGGGAAAAAAAGAGTAGTAAAAATTTCCAAGATTAAAACAATTTAATAAAACAGAGTTTCAATTCCCTCTGAACAGCTATAGTCTAATGGTTAACCAACAATTTGTGTGCTAGCCCTTTTCTGCCAGAATTTGGGGTGGACAGAATTCTGGTATGGAAGCCATGTGTGGGACAGCAGCTGTTTACTGGAATCTTTCTGTAGAAGCAGGTTAGAGAGGAACAACACTTCTTTCCTTCCTAATGCGATTTTCTAATTATTGCTGCCAAATAGAACGGGCTGCGAGTGGATGGTTTCCTGAACTCATTTGTCACAATTCTAACTCAGCTTCTAGCTTGACCAGCTTGATCATGCTGGACAGGGACAAAAGGTATTTTTAAAGCCACAAATAGATTTTTTGTTTCTATCACCCGCCAAAGGGACTCTAGATACTAGATCATTACTTTTCTAAAACTCAAAAATTAAACAACTCAGTCTTTCCTGTGTAAATTTTAATGAGATGCTACCACATATAGACATGTAATTTTAACTGGTTATTGTTCATTAGGACCTATCACTAGTAGGGATTATAAACAGCATCAAAAAGAACATCCCTAAAGCAGTGGCCTGCTCACTTTTGTTGTACAGGAACAGCAATCTCACTGGGTTCAAAGGGGGCCGACAGAATCACAAACAATTCCTCTTAGGATACTGGAAAGTGAGTCTGAGTTCAGGTCACTGAGATTCAGTCTGTGGTCTCCATTCAGTCTTCATGCGACCAACATGATCATCACATAGCAATCTGACCTCTGGAAACCGGACAGTGATGGATGCTTTTGCTGAGGAGGTTGAGTACTGAGGCAATCCAGAGGGGTGGAGGAAGAGGGATTTTCCATAAATACACTGGGTTGGAGCTGGAAGGGGAGAGTAGCTTTAATGCTGTTTTGTTGTTGTTGGCTCCTTCAGCGGCACCTGGGTCTGTGGCACAGGGAGCTTGGCGTGCAGGCCTTGGACTGCAGTGCCCTGGCATCCAGCTGACAGCGGGACCATGTCCTGCCTTTCGCTGATACAGTCTGCAGGTGTCCACCCGGCCTCCTCTTAACCTGAGGAGATGGATGAAAATGCATGCTGAGGACAGGGAACGTAGTTTATTTTTGTGATGAAAAAATATTCTGTCACCCTGATGGTATGTTTCTCGTGGCATTTGTGTGTTCCTCTATGTAATACCTGAAGCATAAGGATTACAGGGGACTCTGACTAGGCTCCCAATTCACATACTCAGTGGTGGCTTCATATAATGGGGGAAGATGAGATTTGCCAAATAGCTAATTCAGTGGAATGTGATTAAGATTAGTTGATTTAAAATGCATATTCAAGGACAAAATTCTGATTTTAAGTTAAGGACTTCATATCTAACTTAGTCTGTTCAGACTGTTATAACAAAATACCACAGACGAGGTGGCTTGCAAATGATGCACCCTATAGTTTTCCAACTGCCTTCTTAAAATAAACATAATTCTGAAGAAGCTTCCTCAAAGGAACAATCATATTACTTTCTTATTCTGAGATTTTTTATATATCTTAAATTTTTCAGGTATAGGTTCATTATACTATTCTCTCTACTTTTGTATGTATTTGAAAATGCTTATTGGATGAGTTTAAGAAACACAACTCCACGGAGAAATATTTGGAATACTTAAAAAGGTATTAGGAAGAAACATCACCCATGACCTCAATGCTAAGACTGTGACCTTGATATGTTTTAGAAAATATTCATTTGGAAAGATGAGTATAAAGCTATAAATTCACTTAACTTGTGTATGTTCCCCATTTATCTATCTTGGATTTGCTATTTATACTTAATAATTATGGCAAATATACTTTAATGTTACTTTTTTTAGTATGATAATCAAAACAAACAATTGAAATTTATTAAGTATCTAAGAGCCTCACATTACAAGGTATTATGTCAGAAAATAAGGTTTTGTAAATGCAAAAACAAAATACAATCTTTAAAATAAATGCACTATAGAGATTTTGTATTTCCTGAAGGTCATGGTATATCTAGAATAGATAGTGTAGCCTGAGAAAAAATGCAGCACTTTGTATGATCAACTGAAGGAATAAATAGTCAGAAAAACAAACAGCATAAAAGTAAAATGTCAGAAACTGACAGAGGAAGAATTGAAGGAACTGACAGAGGGAACAATTTACCCACTTTAATGATCATCTTGGTAGCAGTAACAGACCGATTTTAGCCTGGGTACATTTTACAAGTTAATTTGGGCCCAGGAGACTTCATTCCCGGTGACATTGTGGTAGTGGTTATACTATTTTGACAGGAATTGAAACAGAAACCAGAAAAAGATTGCAAATGGAAATTTTGGCTAATTATATTTATTTTGTAGGGACCAGAGCAGGTTGGCTTATTCCACTGTCAGTATGCAAGCACCTACTTTCCTTTCTCATTTGCAAAGTCTAGTGTGTAAGAGCTTATTATGGAAAGAAAGAAATACCCTATGGAAACCCTGCCACCTGCCCATGCTTTGTGTGTGTGTGTGTGCGTGTGTGTGTGTGTGTGTGTAATATATATTGCATTATAATTAATCATACTGGTTATTATGTTCAGGTTATACAAATTAAAACCCTTCTGTTCAATGGGCACATTCTCTGTAACCTGTATTCACCTTGTTTCTGCAGTTGTTTCTTTTCCTTCCACAGAAGAACCTGTTCTGGCAGACTAGGGGCCTGGTGCAAAAATTCGTGCACCTTGTAAGGAACTGTGGGCCGTGAGGCTGCGGTGAGCACAGGGGTGGGTCTCGGCCCATCCTCCGTGCCCCCACCCAGCTCCTCCTGCCGTGGCCCCCAGTCCCTTCTCACTTGCACCGCTGATGGTACAGAGCGATTGGGAACAGTGTGGAGTGATTGGGGCCTGGTGCCAGCAGTGGGTGCAAACATCAGTGGGTGCAAACAGCGGCTGCTGCCCTGATCACCCTTCAGGAACAGGGGGAGGTGGAGAAGCCCTCAGGGGCGATCGGGGCAGGCAGCTGCTGCTCACACCCACTGATGGCGCCGAGCAATCAGTACTGGCACTGGGTGCCGGCAGCGGGTGCAAGTGGTGGCTCCGGTGTCAGCAGTGGGTGCGAGCAGGGCCAGCACCAGCAGCAGGTGCAAGTGCCAGGGGGGACCATGGTGCGCTGGAGCAAAGAATATTCAGGCTCACCTCAATGACAATGACCAGCACCCCACCTTGATCTGGCACCCCCGCTCACCTGCTCCACCATCCTGCCATGGCCTACGCCCGCCATGTTCTGTGCGTGCCCTCTGGTGGTCAACGCACGTCATAGCGACTGGTTGTTCGGTTTTTCAGTTGTTTGGTTGTTCCGCAGTTCGGCCTATTTGCATATTAGGCATTTTATGTTTATACATTTGAATTCCTTATTTTAGTATAAAGGTTATATATATATCTTAAATTATATGAAGAGTCAAAAATATTACTATCTAAAAGCTTGCTCATATCATTATTCTGTTTTCTTTCTAACTTTCTTCTAGAACTCTTAGAACGATCTCTAGCGCTTTTAAACAAAAGTCAACAACTCACTGACTTCATAGAAAAATTCAAGTGTGATGGACCTAATGTAAATCCTGAGTTGATTCAGGGAGCTCGTAGTAGCTGCCTGAAGATCGACAGTCTTCTTGAACTTCTACAAGACAGGAGACGGCAACTAGACAAGTACCTGAAGCAACAGCGGCAGGAATTGAGTCAGGTTCTGCAGATATGTCAGTGGGACCAACAAGAAAATCAGGTAATCCAAAGGGGCACTGATGATGTCTTCCCTTAGCTAATGAAATTTGGTTGTTATGTGGACTAGCTATTCCTAGGACAGCTTCTCAGTTGTCATGGTTAAATTATTTGATCTTTGGTCCAAACTACTATGTTGTTTTTTTCCAAGCAGGTAATATAACAACAAATATCTTTACTTCCTCTCTTTAAAATATTGATTTCATAAATGGGAGAGTACCACTGGGCAGTTTTGAAATGACTATTGTTGGATTCTCTTTCTCACTTCCTTCCAGGTCACTACTTTTAGATACATTTCTTTGAAATTCTGAAATGTTAACTGCAATTTTCTTCAAAGTTGGAGGGGCATGATAGTGTTAAATTGTTCTAGATTGCTATTAATGTCAGTAAAAAAGTCTATCAGTGCAAAATGGAAATATTGTTCTTAGAAGAATAGTCTAGTACCAATTAAGAAATATGACCTTCATCTATGGCTGGAAGCTCAGTGGTTAGAGGGTTTTGGGGTTGGAGGATGATGAGTTTGCAGGCTTATTAGAACACATTACCCAGACTTTAGGCACAGCGTACCCCCTGTCTCCACACATGCACAATCTCCCTCATTATCAACATTCTGCACTAGTGTGGTACATTTGCTATAATCGATGAACCTACACTGGCGCATCGTCACCCAAAGCCCATAGTTCACATTAGGGTCCGCTCTTGGTGGGCAAAAGTAGGTTTATAGTTGTGAGTATGTGAAACACAGTGTTTATTCTTGTAGTATTATTTATTAGTTATTATATTAGTTTCTATATGAACAATTATAATCCTACTTTTGCTCATCTCTGTACATTCTGTGGATTTGAAAAATGTGTAATGACATATATCTACCATTGTGGTATGCAGAATAACTTCACTGCCCTGAGAATCCTCTGTGCTCTGCCTAGTCATCCCTCTCTCCCCCTAATCCTTGGCAACTACTGATCGTTTTACTAACTCCATGGTTTTGTGTTTTCCAGAATGTCATATAATTGAAATAATCTAACGTGTAGCATTTTCAGATTGGGTTATTTGCTTAGAAATATGCACTTAAGATTCCTTCATGCTTTTGCATGGCTTGATTGCTTATTTCTTTTTAGCATTGAATACTATCCCACTGTGTGAATGTGCCATAGTTCATTTATCCTGTCACCTACTGAAGGACATCTTGGTAGCTTCCAAGTTTTGGCAGTTATGGATAAAACTGCTATAGGAATCCATGTGCAAATTTTTGTCTGGATGTAAGTTTTTAATTCATTTGTGTAAATATCAAGAATTACAATAGCCTCAGGACAAGTTTTCTTGTCCTTCCTCTCCTGGGCCAAGGCCTCTTCCTATTGTCTCATTGTCAGAGCCTGCTGTAGGTATATTAAGGCTTTCAGAATGAACTTGTGGTTAAAAGAACTAGGCTTTCATTTGGACTCCATTCCTGACAATCTTGAGCCAAAATCAATTCAACAATAATGATAAGGATAAATATTAAATTTTAATAAAATTGGTCAATAAATAAATTATTCATTTCTTTAAATATAAAATTTAGGTTCTTAATCTCAAAACGTCCATGTTACATTTTTCTCTTGCTAACACCAGTGACAGCAGTTGGAGTCATCAGTAAAGGTAACTGCCGTCTCTGTGGGCTGATGAGAACACAGATCCTGGGGCCAGACTATTGGCTGGCTTCAAATCCTGGTTCTGTCACTTACCAGATGAGTAACTGAGCAATTATTTAAATTCCCAGAGGCTCAGTTTTCTGTAAAATGTAGCTATAGCAGTATTTTCCTCAAAGTGTCGTTAAGATTATCAAGTGAGTTATTTTCCGTCAAGTAGTTAGAATGTTACTTGGCTCATATTAACTTCTATATTATAATTAGTAATTTAGGGCAGCATGCCTGAAAAGGATAGTGAAAACCCAACACATATCACTCTCCTCCCTCTTGTACCTCCATCTACCACCAAGCTGGGCAAGACTAGTCTTGCATTAAAGGGTAATTTGTTATTTATTTTGAGTTTCATGGATCAAATAAAAGTCACTTTTGTAATCTTAGCCATACTTGTTCAATGGGTACTCAATGAATAGTTCAAAACAGAAAGATATATTTTTTTCTGCTTGTGACTTAATGTCCATTTGTTTAAAATGTAGGTGAGATCACTGCCATATAGGTAACTGCTATGAGCATTTGATGTACTGCCACCTTTTAGACCTTTATACAGCACTAGAGGCCTGGTGAATGATATTCATGCCCTGGGGGAGTAGGGGGGTCCCTCAGCCCGGCCTGCACCCTTTCACAGTCTGGGACCCCCAAGGGGTCCTTAGAGCTGCTGCAGAGGCGGGAGAGGACCCTGCCACCACCTCTGCGCTCATCAGTGGTGAGCCCGGCTTTTGGATGAGTGGCGCTCCTGCTGTGGGAGTGCACTGTCCACCAAGGGGCAGCTCCTGCGTTGAGCGTCTGCCCCCTGGTGGTCAGTGCGCATCATAGTGACCAGTTAGTCTGCTGTTTGGTTGATTTGCATATTAGGGTTTTATTATATAGGATGAGCACTGTCATAGGAACATACACACATTCAATAAAGAAATGGATAAATAAGCAAGCAAACACTAATGGAATTAACCTAAGCATACTGTATTATTACCTATTTTTATTAAATTGAAAAAATCATAGACACATTCTTTGTCAAAAGTACAATAGGTGATTTTAATGGGCATAATATTTAACTGCTTGAATTAGCACAATTTAAGGAATATCTTATTGTTGAGGAAATAGTCTCTTTAGTTTCTTAATATTATAAACAAGTATTAATGCTTACTGTGCTATAATTATGTGAACAAAGAAATAATTTAAAATCCAGGTAGATACAAGCATAATTATCTTACCTAATTTTTAGCTTTTCTGAATGCTCTATTCTGAAGTTTAATTGATGATGCAATGGTGAAGAATAGCAGTAGGTTCACCAAATTGGGTGTGACTCTGTTAGTAATTTGGCTTCTATGATAATCATATTCCTGGATGATCTACCTGATAGAACATTGTGGAACCTGAGTTGATACAAAGGCACATACTTCATCGAAGGGCAAATATTTGTTGTTGGTTCTGTACTTATTTTAAGGGAATATAGGAGCTGTCAAACTTTGCATGAATAGAGTACTCATTTTGTCAATCATTTTAACCACTTAAGAAAAGGGAAAGTAAGTAGAAAATTAGAGCAAAGATGACTGATGAGTAATAACGTGGTTGTCTAAATGTCTGATGTATTGCCTCTCATAAGGGCCATTTAAAAGACGCATTTAGTGCTGCTCTGTGTCTAAGTTATTATGGCCTAATGCTTTTGAACTATAATAGTTTAGCTAATTTAACTTTGGGAGAAAATTGAATGACCAGAACAATGACAATTTAAGATTTATATCAATCAAAGGAAAAAACAAACAAACAAATGAAAACCACATATTTTTCTATCTTAATTGAAATATGATAGTCTGATAAATATGATCACAGAATGTTCTTTCTGTATCATTGTTTTTCAGATGTAAAAATGTGCACTTGTTTTACTTTGAGAGATGAGTAGCTGACCATTTTTTTCCAATTCCAGCAGCATCTTATTTTGCACATAATCTGCTGTTTCATTAATGAAAATCAGAAGCAGCTTGGAGTATTTTGTGCATAATTAATTATCTTGGCAAGAAGATTTATGAATGTAATTTTTTTCAATTGCTCCAATCAGGCATAAGTGAGACAAACAGATAAATTAAAACTAAGTTATTCATAGTCTCTTTGTATAAGACAATGTCAAGGACATTGAGGAATAGCAAGTAAGACAGGGCAGATCATCTGTTTTTACCCTCAGATCACATATACTTATAAGATACACATATTTGTAGAGGAAAGAGAGAAATAGAATTAACATTTACAAGGTTTTATACCACATATGTAATAATTATGTAACCATATGTAATCATATTAATTAAAAAATATTTTTATTGATTTGAAAGAGAGAGAGAGAAAAAAACATCAACGATGAGAGAGAATCATTGATTGGCTGCCTCCTGCACACCCCCTACTGGGTGGGATCGAGCCCACAACCCAGGCATGTGCCCTTGACCGGAATTGAACCCAGGACCCTTCAGTCCCCAGGCAACACTCTATCCACTGAGCCAAAACCAGCCAGGGCCATATTCGTTTTTACTGGGCAATTAAAATGATATCAGGCTCAGGGTGCCAGTCTGGTACCTGGTGGACTGCTATATAACTTTGCACACACACACACACACACACACACACTTTATATGATGCTACCTTCTAACTAAGAGTTAGAGCTTGGATGATTGACCAGCTTCAATTGATATGAAATAATATACAAGTGCCTAATGTAGTGACTAGCACATAGTAAGAGTTTAAAACAAAATCTTTCTTTGAATGTAGCTTTCTAATATTGGCTGGCATATCAAATAATGAATTATCCTGGTGAGACTGGTATTCAATAGTTCAGCCCAATAACATACATGACTTTCAAACCCTTATAGGTTAAAATTTATCACAAAATTTTATTTTAGCACCTAAGCTGTCTGTAGAACTCACTCCAAGGCACATTAGAGTAAATGCAAAGTCTCTTGAGGTGTTTGTAGGAGAAACATCGTGATTTTGAAAACAATAGAAACACCTCCTAAGTCAAATGCTGCTAACCACCATTTATTTCAATGACACTATGTATCATAGGTCCTAAAGGAGGTAGTCTGGTGCAGGTGGCAGGGCTAGCAATCCCAGCTTTTACATTTATTGGCTATGTGATTTGGGCAAGTTAGTTGGCTTCTGTGCCTCATGTTCTTTTCTGTAAACTGGAAATAATAATAATAGCTATCTATAGATTTGTTGTGAATATAAACAACATTATATACGTAAAACTGCTTAAAGCACAGCTTAGCATACAGCAAGTACTCAGTAAGTGTTCAAAGGTTCACCATCTCACTCCATGTTGGTGGTCACTCTGAGCTTT